TGCTTGTTGGCTTATGGAATGTCTTAAGCACTAGAAGTCAATCCATATGAATATATTTCATAAAATCACCAACTGTCACAAAGCACATACTTTTATTAACTTTTATTAGACCTATTTGGAAACTTTAAGGGAAAAACCTTCTAGCCTACAGCCTTCTTCAAGTTATCAACTTACATTATTCCACTGTGGATGAAATAAAGAATGCAGAGAAAGTAAGAATCATTAGGGTACTCGTTTTAATTTTTTTTTGATATGGGCTTAATTTAAATATCACCATCAATTTCCATCAGCCAATACAGAGATAAGAATAATAAAAAGATTTTCATGTATTTTTTCAAGTACCTGCCAGCATTGCTTCAAATAGCATCCTATTCTCAATTTCAAGATGGTTCCAGATACAGTGTTGCCTAAATGCAATGGGTATGTTTGAATGCATTCATGCTGGTGTGTGTGTGTGTGTGTGTGTGTGTGTGTGTGTGTGTGTGTATGTGTGTGTGAGAGAGAGAGAGGAGAGAGAGAGAGAAAGAGAAAGAGAGAATGCATGTTGCATGTATAGCTGATGTTGCATGTATAGCTGAGATGCAGAATAAAAATCATTCCAGTGGTCTCCAGGGGTTTGCAGCACTTCCAAAAATATTCCCTGAAGAAAACAGTGTGGTGCCTGTGATATCTTTCACTTTGGAAACACAGAGGTTTTCTATTTGCTGAAAATGTAGCTTTCCAGTCAGTAAGCAATTCTGATATATATCTATGAGGCAGTTGCACAAAACCTGAAAACAACAAAACCTGAAAATGAGATGCAATTTGTAACAGAAGCTTTCCATCCGTGACTGTTCAGGAAGTCGTCCCCAAATGGTTGCCTCCGTCTCCTACTCTCAGTCTGGGCTTCTTTTGTAAGCCAGAAAAATTGCCACTGCGGTTCAATAATTTGTGTATTTTTGTGGAAGAATGAATGTGTGCAGCTTTGTTGAACGTCCCTTGAACCGGCAAAAGACTACGGATGCTGCGGAGGCCACTGTGACTCTGACGGAGGTCGCGGCGGATGTGCTAGTACCGAAGCTCCGTAGTCACAAACTTGGGGGAAAGGATTTTCTTAGCACACAGAACACAGTGAAATGTTGCTGAACATATGTTATGGAAAGTCACAACAAATCAGCTGGGATATGAAGAACCTTCTTGTTCAAAGCAGTTTAAAGCAGGATGTTCAGGTCATTCCTGCCTACTACGTCCTTTATGTACTTTGTATGAATTAACTCACACCCTCATTTCACTACATGTCATAAGCATAGTTATCTTCATCTACAGAAGAAATCCCAGGTCTCTTTCACGGGAAGAGCTAAGTGACTTACTGTGAAAATGAGAAAATGAGAAGTGCGAAGCAACTGTAAGAACCGGTTCAGAGGGATAGTACAGTAGGTAAAGTGCATGCCTTGCATGGAGTCAACCATGTTCAATCCCTGACACCAGGTATGGCCTCCAGAACCCTACCGGAACTGATGTATGAACACAAAGCCAGGATTAAGCCCTGAGAACTCCCCCAAAAAACAAATGAAAAGTTCAGAACTTGAATCATATCTTTTGACCTCTAAAGTTCATACCTGTAGTCATTGTACATAGCAGAAGTAATGATACCATCTTACTTGGAAGCTTTCAAGTAACCTGATTAAAGAAAAATATTAAATTTGATGGGGCTGGAGATATAGAACAGCGGGTAGGGCGTTTGCCTTGCACGTGCCCGACTCCGGGTTCGATTCCCAGCATCCCATATGGTCCCCTGAGCACCGCCAGGAGTAACTCCTGAGTGCAGAGCCAGGAGTAACCCCTGTGCATCGCCAGGTGTGACCCAAAAAGAAAAAAAAATTAAATTCGAAACTTAAGGGCTGGAGCGATAGCATAGCGGGTAGGGCGTTCGCCTTACAAGCGGCCAACGTGGCCGACCTGAGTTCGATTCCTCCGCCCCTCTCGGAGAGCCCGGCAAGCTACCGAGAGTATTCAGTATGCCAGACACAGTAACAACAAAGTCTCCAATGGAGACGTTACTGGGCCCGCTCGAGCAAATCGACGATCAAGGGGAGGGCAAAAAAAAAAAAAAAAAGGTGAACCCAGTAAGGAACCAATGCAAAAACATCTCTCCTTATGATCATATAGGACTGAACAAGCCTCCCACAGGGACTCCAATTCTCCCTGGTTCAGAATCCTCCATATTCCAAGGTCAGCCTCCTTCAGGAGTTCAAACTACTCTGGATTACAAATAATCAAAACAAGGCAAAAAGACTGCTAGCCACAGCCCAGACATCTCATTTTCCTTTCTCTTTCTCTGTTTCCCTATTTTACAGATCAGCTGTAGCAGTCAGCTCTTCTGTTTTAGAAGTCACTGCTGATGGGCTAAATAAGGCCTGGTACTGATTGTGTAGAGCACTGTTCATTAGTGCCATTGAAAGAAATCATTCCTTGATTAACTATTCATCTGCAGTCTAGACAACAGGTCTAGAGGTAAGAGTTTTAAAGATAAATCTGACTCTGGGGGCACTTGGGATACCTGGTCTTTTAAAAAAGAGGGAAAGAAAACAATATGCCTGATTTTTGTCATACACGAATCTTTGAGAGCTTTTACCCTGATTTCAGCTGCCAGTCATGGCAAACACACTCACCCTCTCCAGTCTGATTCATAATTTCATTTTGTGGTTATACAAAAATATCAGAATTGGACAAAGTATCTTATTGAAAAATAATATGTTTTCCAGAGATTATGTTGACCTCTCTATTTTGTTGATTTACATATACTTTCAGTTCATTTTCCTTCACAGTGGGAATCTCAGAAGTATTTTCCAATATAGTAGATTCAGCAGCCGCTTTTAAAAAATGCTGTTAGAATAAATTTAATTTACTCAGATGCATGGATGCGGTATTGTTTCATCATACGTGGTCTTCCAGTCTATGACTTCCTTGGTGGGGAATTGATTAAGGGGCTAACTCTAGCCTTAAAAATTAGTTAACACTGGAGTAGGCTTATAGACTGGCAAAGGACCTACTCTCTTGCCTAATAAAACTGAATCAGGTAATTTTAGTTTTTTTTTCTCCTCAAGCTCTTTCTCTCTTTGCCTAGAAAGCAAGCATCCAGCTCCCAACACACTCTGAGTCCATGAAATCTAGATGGCTATTTGTATTCACACACTCTTGTTCACACAGCCACAAAAAAGCCAAAGAGACTCTCATTCTTCTCCAGAAAAGCCCTGAAGACACTCTGAACACAAATCCAGGAATAATGTGTAATACATGAGGGTTAAAGACAATTTGCAATCCTAGTGCTTGCCCCTGTACATGGTTACTTTTTGAATTTACTCTCTCATCCTGATTTTAAACAAGATTGCCTTTTGGATTGCTTCCAAGGGAAGAGTTCTTGAGCCATTAATTACGATAATTTTGTTATATGTTTAATACCACTATGTGTTAAAAAGAAAAAATTCCTATGATATTTTCCCCTGAATAAAAAAAGCATGCATTTTACCCTGAGATTCTGATAATATGAGAAAACATAGAAAGAATAAAAAAATGGCCATGCATATTTATATATTCGTTTATGAAAATAGTTATTGAGAAACTCCCACATGTCAGGATTATTCTAAGAGTTTGCAGATGCTCTGTTTAACAAAATGAATACAAGTTTGTCCTTCGTGGGATTAAGATTTTAGAAGGAAAGATAAACAATATATATTAAAGTAAAAAGTAAAGGCCCTCCCGTTGATCATCGATTGGCTCGAGCAGGCCCAGTAACGTCTCCATTGGAGACTTTGTTGTTACTGTGTCTGGCATATCGCATACGTCATGGGGAGCTTGCCAGGCTCTGCCGTGCGAGCGAGATACTCTCGGTAGCTTGCCGGGCTCTCCGAGAGGGGTGGAGGAATCGAACTCGGGTCAGACATGTTGGCTGTGTGCAAGGCAAATGCCCTATATATATTAGTATAATAATACAGTATATGGTATGTTAAAAATGGTAAGTACTTTTGGGGGAAAAACAGTAAAGAAATATTGCCTTTTTCAATTTTCCTTAGGTGGAAAATGGTCACCGGTGGAGGGATGGGTATTTGATCATTGTATAATTGAAACCCAAGCACAACATTTTTAAGTCTACAACTGTACCTCATGGTGTCTCACTAATAAAAATTTAAAAAAAAAATTAGACAAAGAGGTGACCTGAGAACTTTTACTTTGTTTTGTTTGGGGGCCATAATCAGGGTTTACAACTGGCTCTGTATTCAGGAATCATCCCTGACAAAGTGTGGATACCATATGGGATGCTGGGGGTCCAAGAATGATTGGCCATGAACAAGGTAAGTACCTACTTGCTACATTGTTGCTGCAGCCTGGAGACTTTTAAAAAGGTGAAAGAAACCATATATCTCTGAGGGGAAGTGGCCACGAATCACAAAACAGAGACAATTTGATTTGTCAAGATAAACAAAAAGATCTCTGAAGAGGTTTTTCCAGTCTTTTTGTGCACTTTAACATACAAATATTCATATATTTTACTTATAACCAATTTTTTTATTAGCATAGATCTATTAAAATACTTATTGAATGTTTAGGAATTTTAGAAAATATCTAATTGATAACCATATTAAATTTTGCTGTGATCAGAATTTTTAATTGCCTTTATTTCAATTCTCTCCCTTGCTTAGAAGAAAATGATTCTTTAACATCAGGAGGTAGCAGTGACCTTGGTTGATTAGTTCAGTGCAAAGAAGTGACAGACCAGTTTTAATCTTCTTTAGGTACAATTTTCAGAAATGCAATTGTTCTCCTTTGGCAAAACAGAACCTGAGAAGAGAGGTTAAATAATTTTATTGTCCTGTCTCTGTTTTTTCTCCTGAAAAATCGGAGATTTATAAAGCTTACCCATCTCCAGTGGACACTGGCGGATTAACTAATTATTGTAATATGGTGGTGGACAAAGCCTGAGCATTGTTACTAGAGAAGAAAGAAAATTTATCAGATTGTACCTTTCTGGCATCTGTTGCCTTGGTAACCAGATTTGCAGGTGCAACTGCCATTTTTGGCATCGCAGTCCAGGGTGTTCTCTTCCACACACTGACATTCTGTAGTGCAGCCGGCTCCATACACCCCCTTGGGACAGTCTGAAAGCAGATTGAGGCAAATGAGTCACCTGAAAGCCGCGCTTTGTTTCACTGACATTGTTGGTGCACAAGCATGTCGTTCTGTAGTGTCTGATTATAGGGAAAACAAGGGGCTCATCCTGACTGCCAAAAATGGGGGCGGGAAGAGAAATAAATGTCTTTTAAATCAGGCGATTCACTTGCTTTTTGGCAACTGGATATGAACAGTGAAGTCTGAACTTCCTAAAAGGCTTAGGTGCTTCAGTGAGAGAAATTGCTTCTCAATGAGCTCCACTGGTGCCTATAGTTAATATTCTCCATGGATGGCTAAGCCCTGCCAGGCCTCATATTCAACCTGCTGCAGCATGGAGGTGATGGACAAGAATTAAGTGAAAGCTCATCATTGTCTTCACTCCCTTTCATTACATGGTAATAAGAGATGATTTTACATCATGGAGATAGCTCAGAGCTTTCATCATGACAGTGACTCTATCTTGGCTATAGGTCTGGCACATGAAGCCTTTTCTTCATTGTTTTCCCCAAGCCATTGCACTTTATGGATGGTAATCAGTATAGAAATTCTGACTGGAGAGAAACACCAACTTTATATCAGGAAAATGTATCTATAGGTTTCACTTAGAGTAAATAAAGAAGTTCAATTTCCCTTTCAAAATATAACTGACTGTTTTTCACTATTGCAAGTATTTTAGGAAACATCAAATCAGAGATTTTCCAGGATTGATGCAACTAACCTAAAATATGTCCAATATATTATATATTATTCATCATTCATATTTACCATAGCTTCCAAATTTTTAGACATTTCCCAAGCCGCCATGCCCTAAGATCTCTCTGAACTATCGTCTTCCTTGATATTAGTAAAGTAAAGTAAGTAAAGGCCCTCCTGCTGATCATCGATTTTCTCGAGTGGGCCCAGTAACGTCTCCATTGGAGACTTTGTTGTTACTGTGTTTGGCATATCGAATACATCACGGGGAGCTTGCCAGGTTCTGCCATGCGGGCGAGATACTCTCGGTAGCTTGCTGGGCTCTCCTAGAGGGGCGGAGGAATCGAACTCGGGTCGGCCATGTTGGCTGCGTGTAAGGCAAACGCCCTACCGCTGTGCTATCCTCCGACTATGGCCATACCACCCTGAACGCGCCTGATCTCGTCCTTGATATTAGTCTCTTTATTTTCATTATTGAGCACCAAGAGAACAGTGACTGTCCTACCCTAATCTTCCTAGTTCTGCACTTAGAAGAGTGATAGTGGGGTCAGTTTACACACAATAAAATAGTAAATATGACAGTAGATATATTAAGATCACTTCACTATGTTAATAAGCTTAGGTAAAATAGAGGAAAAGTGGAATAAAGAATATTTTTTGTGGACAGTGACTAGTTAGGATTTATTAGGAACTGAAATATAACCTCAAATATTCATATGTTGAAGTCCTAAGCAATCATCAGGACCTTAAGATATCATCATATTTGGAAATTGTATTCTATTGATGTAATTAGCAAGATGAAGACACACTACAGTAACATGGGCTTCTAATATGATATGTCTTATAATCAGGAACACAGACATGAAATAGAAGTATGAAGATGGGAGTTATGCCACCACAAATTAAGGAACTAAGAAAAATCCTGAAAGTTGACCCTTTCTCTGTGCCTTTCTAGATAACAAGACTCTTGTCAACACCTGAATGTGAACTCTCACACACAAACTCCTGAGCCAAGTCTGGTCTGGAGTAACCCCAAATTCCATGAGTCCATTTTGTATGGCCTCTTTAAAAATAAAAAACAATATCCTATTTAATGATTTTTTTGTTATTTATTTTTGTTTTGGGGCCACACCCAGAGGTACCCTTACATGGCTTTGTGATTAGGGATCACTTTTGGTAAAGTCAAGAGATAATTTGGGGGGACGGGGGTGGGAGAGATGCTGGGACCCATGGTGGTGGAGGATGATCGCTGGTGGAGGGATGGGTACTTGATCACTGTATAACTGAAATCCAAGCACAAAAATTTATAAGTGTATAACTGTACCTCATGGTGTTTCACTAATAAAAAAATAAATAAATAAAAATTTTAAAAAACCCAAAAAACAAACAAACAAACAAAAATAAAGAATGCAGTTTAACAACAACAACAAAAAGATAATATGAGGTGCTGGGGATCAAGCCTGGGTCAGGTATATGCAAGGCAAGCACCTTATATACTGAACTACGACTATGTCTCACATTTTAGAAATTTTAGGCACTTTTATCACTTTGTTTTGGAGTTCATATATAAAAGACTTAGTGAGATTTTGATATTCCACTCCCCCAAAGTATCAAATATTCATTTAAATAAACTAAACATAATTCACTGTCAAGATCAAATGTAAATATAAAATACTTACATTCTTTAAAGTCCATATTCTATAATACAAGGAAGCAAATATAGACAATACTTGTTGCATGTGTATGACAATATGATATGTGCGTGTAAAATATGTCATTTCCCCAGTGTCCTTTTTCTTTACATTTCTGAGCCTGCTAGATCCACACATAGGGAACAAATTTAGATGAGTGACTTACTCAGATGACAAAACCGCCCATAGCGTCCTGGCTCACACATACAGGCTCCATGCACCCTGTGGCAATGACCATTGTTGGCACAGTTACAATTTCTTTTGCAGTTCTTCCCAAAGAATCCTTTTGGGCATCCTGGAAGGTAGAAGGACAAAGAAAACTAATATTTACCCCAAGCAACACCTTCTAGAGCTGTTGTGATATAAAAAGACAACCAGATGGAGATGAGTTGTTTCCAATCTGATTGGTCTCAGGCCAGAGAAATTCTCTCTTTCTTTCTTTTGAAGGTGTGTGGTATATGCGGCAGTGTTCACAGATTACTTCTTTCTCTGTTCTCTCACAGAGATGCAGAGATCTTTTTAAAAACACAAGTGCCACTTTTATGTTCTCTACTTAATATCCACACTCTTGCGCCATTGCTGTTGAGGTAAAAACTTCATATTCCTGGTGACCTTCAAGGGACCATACACGGTGCTGGGAATTGAACCACGGTCCACCCTCTGGACCCATGTACTATGTTTATGGGATGCAGAGAGATCTTTTGAAAAGCACAGGTGCCACCTTTATGTTTTCTATTTAAAATTCACAGTCTTTTGCCATTGCTGTTGGCTTAAAAACATCAAATTTACAGCACCTAAAGAGCCCTTTCCTCTCTGGCCTCTTGTTGCACGGTGCTGCTGGACCAATTCTTTCCCATGGGTTCCTCTCCTGCTCCAGCTCCTCCTACTTCCTCTCAGATTCTGAAAACCATGACTTCTCAGTCTGGAATGTTCTTCCCTCACTTTTCTCTTATCTCCTCTCTCCTTCTACTGCATACATATTGCTTCTGTGCTTTATCAAACCAGGGAAAGATTATGTCACTTTTACTGGTTTCCATAAAAATTCAAACAGTACTAAGTGGTACTATGTGACTTTTTTGCATTATTACTCCTTTTACATTCCTTCTTAACTCTTTCAGTTCCTCTTCCTCCCTGATTGGACCAAGAAGGTTTTCCCTTTTATTTTCCATTTCAGAATGACTAAATTTTCCCGGTTCCTATGTCCAAATCTGTACACACACTCAACTTTTGCTTAAAGGAAGACAAGACTTCCTCTGCATCAGAATTCAACCTTCAATTACAATTTGAGATTTAAGTGTCAGTTATTCTGTTCTGTTACTTGACATTAGAGAAATCAGTTGTACTCTTGTAAAAAGAAACATAACCTTCACTACTCCTGGAAAGACCAACTTGAATAACTTTATTTCCCACTAGAAACCTAAGATCCTCAGGTTCAGCCTCAAGATAAGCACTGGGCACTCCTACCATCTTCACAGGTCTTCCCATGAAATCCGGGGGGACAGAGACACCTCCCAGGGAGATCACAGACTCCTCCGTTCTTACAATCACAGCTGCTGCTGAAAGGCACTTTCCCATTTATCTTTGGAGAATAAGCTATAAAGAAAATTCAAAATGTGAGAAGACAGTAAAATATGTTCACCATGACCAACTAGAGATGTTTTAAAAATAGCTGTTTTTTTCCCCCCTAAGAGATACCCATTAGTTCAGATTTCGGTAATTTGCAGACCCAGTTGCAATCTTTGGTAAGCTCTTATGGCATAATGATTTCTAGGGGAAATAAATATATACATCAAGTCAAAATATGACAGAGGTATTGATAACAAGATTCACAAGAATAATTTAACCCAGAAAGTGATTTAAAATAAGCTGATATACTTTAGTGCACAACCATCACCAATTTTTTAAAATTTTATTTTATTGAATCACCGTGAAATATAGTTACAAGCTTTCATGTTTGGGTTACAATCACACAATGATCAAAAACCCATCCCTTTACCGGTGCACATTCCCCGCCACCAATATCCCCAGTATACCCCCCTTTCCAACCCTCCCCCTGCCTCCATGGCAGATAATATTCCCCATACTCTCTCCCTACTTTTGGGAATTATGATTTGCAATACAGATACTGAGAGGGCATCACATTTGGTCCTTTATCTGCTTTCAGCACCCATCTCCCATCCTGACCCATTCCTCCAACCCTCATTTTCTTAAAAGATCACTAACATTGTTAAAGGTTGTGTGGCTCCTTTTTAAAGAACACTGCAACAACATCATTTAAATGTCTCAAGAAATGAGCAAGAAATTGAGAATCAAACTCATTGATTTTAATTCTGAAGATGACTCACCTTATCCACTGGATTATTTTATTATTATTATTTCTATTAGCCACCACTAATTCTTACGAGAAAAAAAACTATACCTTTGATTTTGAAAATTAGGAAGAAAATATAAATACTACTGAAACTTAAGGCAGGAATACATAAGATTAAGATTGTTTGGAGAATCACAAGGTGATTTGCGTTGGCAAAGATTGATTACTGAACAGCTGGTGTCTTCGGATTATTGGTTTTACAGGAAATATTCAGTATTGCATTATAAATTTAAGGAAAATGGTATAATCTTACTTTAAATTTAACTGAACTCGGTAATCTCTAAAATGTACAGTTTATTATGAGGGCTAAATTCTAAAACTATACTTACACATATATGTACATATAATTTATAAACAAATTTATATCTCTGTTTATAGACCCACATCATTCCAAATGCTAACAGAAAATTGATAACATATTCCAATTTTCCTTTGCTTTCAAACTCTAACCATGGAAAGAAAAAGAAAGGAAAAGAAAGAGAACTAAGTGAGAGGAAAACGGGCAACAAACATGGTTTGAAGTTTATGATGCAATTTATGTCTACATGTTGGTTTTTTGAAAGTCTGTTTCTTATAGCAAATACAGAGGTTACATATATATGAATATGTGCATACATATGAATATACATGCATATATATATATGTATGCTTAATCCCATGCATGAGGTTTAATCTAGAACCTCAGAAATGTGAAGATGCACTCTGCCACTGAGTTACACACTCACATGATATCAGATCCTAAAGTTGATACTTTTTAAATATACATATACATATATATTTAAATAAATTGAAAACAAACTTAAGGATGTTTACATAGTTTGTATGGTGCCTGAATTATAGCAAGTTATAAATATCATTAAAACCAAATAATTAATTGGTATTCACACACAAAATGACTATGATACTACACGGATTTTCTAAATACTTCATTAGAATCAGACAAAATGATTACCATGAAGAATGGTTTTTTATAAAGTATGTAACCCAAACAGATAGATAATTTAGAGGAAAACTTTAATATTTCCTTCCATATTCATTTTTCATATGAAAATACTACTATCCTTCCTTTCTACTGGATAAAATTGCACAGCAAAAATTATATAGTCAATATTCATTTCTTTAAGTGAAATTGAAATTGTGAAACTACATATAAATTTAATATCACATTTATAACTCAATAAATGAATTTGTATGTAGTAATAATTAAATTGTTTAATTGTAGTTTACAAAAAATTAAGTGGTCCCAAATCCTCTAAATGGTATACTTTTCGAGATTTCTGTTGAATCTTCTTCTTTGATTTTTTTTTCCTTGTTGTATTTGAAGGAATTGGATTATTTATACTGGCCGAGCAAGTGAAAACAGAGATAGACAAATGGGACTATCTTAAACTAAGAAGCTTCTGCACCTCAAAAGAAACAGTGACCAAAATACAAAGACAGCCTACAGAATGGGAAAGGATATTCACCAAGTACACATCCGACAAGGGGTTGATATCAATGATATACAAGGTACTGGTTAAACTCCACAAGAAGAAATCACCCAACCCCATCAAAAAATGGGGCGAGGAAATGAACAGAAACTTTCGCAAAGAAGAAATTCAAATGGCAAAAAGGCACATGAGAAAATGTTCTACATCAGTAATCATCAGAGAGATGCAGATCAAAACCACAATGAGATATCATTTCACACCACAGAGACTGGCCCACATCCACAAGAACAAAAGCAACCAATGCTGGCGCAGATGTGGCGAGAAAGGGACCCTCCTTCACTGCTGGTGGGAATGCCGGCTGGTGCAACCCTTTTGGAAAACAATATGGACGACTCTCAAAAAATTAGAATTTGATCTGCCAATTGACCCAGCTATAGCACTCCAGGGAATATATCCCAGTGAGGCAAAAAGGTATAGTCGAAGTGACATCTGCAATTGTTTGTTCATTGCAGCACTCTTTACAATAGCCAGAATCTGGAAAAAACCTGAGTGCCCAAGAACAGATGACTGGTTAAAGAAACTTTGGTACATTTACACAATGGAGTACCATGTAGCTGTTAGAAAAGATGAAGTTATGAAATTTACATACAAGTGGTACTACATGGAAAGTATCATGTTAAGCGAAATGAGTCAGAAAGAGTGGGATAGACACAGAAAGATTGCATTCATCTGGGGAACATAAAGCAACAAAAAGGGAGACTAACACCCTGGAATGGCTGAGATTAGTACCAGGAATTTTGCTCCATGAATGGAAGGCCAGCCACACGTTCTCACACCCTCCCAGGGTGGGAGAATCATGTTAAAAGTAGTCTATAGACCAAATATGATTGCCACTCAATGCCTCTCTTTCAAAACACAGTACCCAAAAGAAGAGAGAGAGAACAAGGGGGAATACCCTGCCACAGAGGCAGGATGGGACGGGGGGGATGGGGGGTGGGAGGGGATGCTGGGACCCGTGGTGATGGATGACGGGCACTGGTGGAGGGATGGGCACCTGATCATTGTATAACTGAAACCCAAGCACAAAATTTGTAAGCCTATAACTGTACCTCATGGTGTTTCACTAATAAAAAAAAAAAGAAAAAAATATAGTGATGACCCCTTATAAGAGGTCATGCGACCTCTTATAGCCTAGCCCACTGGTGTACCTAAAGCAGCACACATGTGTTTGGTTTTAACATACTTGCTTTTATTCTATTATGTACATTCTTCATCCCTCTCAGAGAGCCTGGCAAGCTCCCTGTGGCATATTCGATATGTCAAAAACAGTAACAATAACGGGTCTCAATTCCCTAACCCTGAAGGAGCCCCCAATAAATCACTGTTGGGAAGGGCAAGTAAGGAGAGGGATGCTAAAATCTCAGGGCTGGGACTAATGGAGACGTTAATGGTGCCCGTTTGAGCACATTGATGAACAATGGGATGACAGTGATACTGTGATACAGTGATGGTTGATGACATAGAGCTAGGGGGATTTATACAAAGCAAGTCATATGGATAAAGATGAATGCCGAGTGATTTGACATGTATATGATATAGAAAAGAAAAATAAGGGAAAAGACACCAAAATAAAATCAAAATCTTGAATTTAACCACAAAATTTAGTTTTCCATGGGGACAGGAAAGGATGGAGGGAAATCAACAAAATGTCCAATGGACTTTGGTATAGGGATATTTGTGTTTTGGCAGTAGATGTGGTACGATAAAGATATTTAGGTGTCAAGTTGTGCCCTTAAAATATATAGTTTTGCTACCATTACCTAAATAATTTATATATTAAAATACAACATAGAATTCAAGAAACTCGTCATTTCTTGTGTTTGTATAAGAGTTATTTTTTAAAATTTTCCTTTAGGTGTCATGATTTACAATACTGTCCACTGTCCTCCCATTGTTCATCGATTTGCTAGAGCGGGCCCAGTAATGTCTCCATTGTGTGACGGGATGCAAGTGATAGTAATAATGATAGTGAATTTAAAGATTCAGATTTTGTACTGAGGAGTCCATAGGAATTGTTTTTAGAGAAGTATTTGCCATGAAGTTTTTAGGAAGGCCAGAGCCTTGTTGGCAAGGCTTGGTCCCATGACACAGGACTGAATAGTCATTCTTGAGCCTGATGTGCTGGAGGACTCAGAACCACACTTAGGGGTACTTAGAAGTTGACAGAGGTGACTTGATACCAAGTATTATCCACTTGGTCATTTATGTGACTGCAATTTGCAAAAGTCTTAATAGAATCTGACAATAGAGTTTCCTGTTTTTAAGGGAGATTGAACAGACGTATAACTACTCCAATGATACAGGGAATAGTGAGGGAATGGAGACTTTAAATTTATATATGTATATATGCAGATTTGGTTGTGGTTAAATTGGTGACATCAAATAAAACTTTTTTGTAATGAGCAGCAATAAACAATAAAATAGGATAATTTAGAAAAAGTCATAAAAATTTAAGAAGTGTAAAGCAGTAAGTAGTGAATGATTTAGCTTGTGGTAAATAATACACTGGATGGAGAGATGTGATTAGGATTAGAAGTGGTAGGATTTATGAGAACCTGAATTTAGATGGCAGGAAATGATTAAATAAGTATAGTTTCATCCACCAGGAAAAAAAGGGTCTTTCTAAAAAGTTTTGAGCCAGAAAGAAATAAAATTGGAGAAACATTTGAGGGAGATCCTTAGAACATTACCTACTTAAGTAAATTTCTGTAATT